ATCTGGACAACTGTCAAATGTAGGTAACATACTTCCATGCTAGTTGACCACAGTTGTCTCAGTGGTTAGCAGGGCAAACAAGGGTACGAACAATAGATTATTGTGTTAAGCAAGTCACCCGAGAGTAGTGTGAAAGTGCAAAATGTATGATTAAATACTTCCCATTTTTTTATGTTTATTTGTATGTATATATTTTGTATACACTTGCGATATACTTCATCAAGTCTTTGAATGGCATTTAGAAGTGATACACATAAGGAAGAGAATTTATGGATGTCAACTTCTTTATTACGAGAAACACGTTTCGGATTATATAGTTACTACTTCACCTGATGAAGGAGTAAGTATATACCCTGAAACGTTGTGTTCCTCATAACAAAGAAGTTGACATCCATAAATTATCTTCCTTACATATATTTTATGTAATTCATTCTGTACAGTTACAAATATTGAATACAATAAACATTGGAACATCTCTTTGACTCACGCAATACTCCCTTCTATTTTAAGGTTAAGATAACATCTTGTTTATCCAATGGTACACATGCATTACACCGGACACCTACCTACCATATTGGATTAGGTCACCTGATGTTCATATAAGAGACTCGCCTGTAAAAAAACGGAGACATTCAGGTAGAAATTAACATTAAATTTTAGTTCTGTGGACCACTTCCGGTCTAATAAAACTAGACTGGGTCCTTTATTTATGTTTAAATCGAATAAAAACTAAATATGTAATGGCTTGTCATGTTTTTCTGTCTATGGATTTATGGGATGCAAAACATCAGAGCGTGAGAGAAATCTGAGAGTTAAGTGGTCGATAATTGGTCCATTTCGAGTTTCAATCAGACACGGTTCATGGCTTGAAGGGAGTAGTTTTAGTCCGAAATGAGACTGTGACGTATATGTGTGGTTGAATGCTATTGATAACACTGAACTTTAGGATCCAGCATTTGCAGGACATGTGGGTGGGGACTTCTGGAGCCGTCTGAAACCACTACGACGCAGATGGTTCAAGAACCACAAACCACGTGGAAGAGTGGCATGCTAGGGTGAAGAAGATCAGCACATCACATCCTATCTTGTGTAAGTTTAAAGACATACTGAAGAGAGCGCAGGAACACACCGAGACAACAACCCTTCAACTGCTGGCTGGGGGCAAACAACCACCAAGAAAGAAGTTCTGGCAACTGGCCTGGAGTCACCTCGCCACCATGCAGATTGTGTTTCCCGTGTATAGGGGTTATGAACATGCTTGTCGTAAGAGGCGACTAATGGGATCGGGTGGTCAGACTCGCTGACTTGTTTGATACATGTCATCGATCCCAATTGCGTAGATCGATGCTCATGATGTCAATCACTGGATTGTCTGGGCCAGACTCGATTATTTTACAGACCGCCGTCATATAGCTGGAATGTTGCTGAGTGCGGCGTTAAACAACAAACAAACAAACAAACCATCTGAAAATATGAGGTCCAAAAGTACTTCCATTATACATGTCTTGGACACTGCAGAAAGACTTTTAAAAACTCAACAGAGAAGCCATAAGTACTTTATTATTTTTCGTGGTTGTACTGCTTTTGGTGCTTTGTTTTTCTAATTCATCCATAAGTAGTTTATTTTTGGTGTTTTATCAACTTTAGATATTTTCATGGTTTTCATTTTCTTCATTGATAGAGTTTCTTTTGTTCCTGTAAGATCACATGTCCGCGAATTGTTTCCTCTCCGTTGTCATCGATTGACTAGTTTATTTATGAGTTAACTTGTGTAAATTCTGTTTTCTAAGTTACAGAAGTAACTACATCTGTTTTCTCCCCCTCTTCCTTCCTCTTGATGAGTGTGCATTCCTTTAGATTCTTCATTTGTTCTAAATCTTTTTTTTTGTATTTTCATAATTCAGCTACATTTTCTTCATCAATGCTTTGAAAATGATCTTTTAACTTATTTTCTAACTATTGGGTTTATTTTGGTTTACAACAGTTTTGTATTTTTTTCTTTTTGTCCCTTTTTAAGTGTGAACCTGTTTCAGTTCTCGCTATCGCTAAACAATAATCCGAGGACATCCCACTACGGGTCTGAACGACCTTTAGTCCGAGAGACCATGAACATTAACACCCTACTCAGACCAGTCCTGCGTCAGACAGGGTAACAAGTGCCATCTTTTAACGCCTTTGGGTATGACGCTTCCGGGGATCCAATCCCCACCTTCCGCTCTCCGGGCAAACTCTCTATACCCACTCGAGGTCAATGTTTGAACGAAACGCTGATTATTTCTTTGAAAAATATCTACGGCCAAGTATGTCGCCATCTTGAAAGAAGATAACATAAATTTGTGCTAACTGAGATTTACGACATTCTTACGATATATTAAAATAAGGGCTGTAGTAGATTCTAAAATAGCCTACCACAGTATACAATAGATTTACGATAATCTTAGTGCTAAGGTCGTTTCGAAAATCTAGGCCCAGAAACTATTATTTACAGACTTTCGGACAGACAGCAGAACGATCAATTTTACTTCTGCAGACATCTGAGTTAAAGGGAGCGACTTAAAATTCAACGTCGCATCTTGGAGGCATCTGAAGTCATCTGTGTGTCGCCTGGTGTACATAATGCATGTTACTCTTCAAATGTCTGACGTCATCTGTGTGTTGACATGAAGTAATATTTTCCCCTGATAACAATATCCCTTTTAAGTATGGCTGCTATTTCTGAACACAAAAATCACTTGAGTCCAGTCCCAAGATGACACACGTAGGTCAAAGGTTCAGTAGCGAGTAAACCCTCAACGTGCCCGGATGACGGCCTCCACCCTAGCCTGTGTCTCATCCCTCCAGTCAGACGCCTGATCTGCTTAATGGGTAACTACAGTTACGCCCAATGCAAAGCTACTTCCAATTCAACGGCTGTTACTGTCTGGAGATCGCTGTCACTGTCTGGGTGAGATTTGGTGGTGAGTGGGTGGTTGTCGAAATGGGGTTCCAGGACGTCTCAGATGTACTGATTCCCTGTGATGTTGCATTGTGTGGTGACCAGGTGTATAGTCGTATTCCTGTCTCCAAACCCTCAGTCGCCCATCCGTGACAGGGAGCAGAAACCTGCTTTCGTCCCACCAACGGCATTTCCCCCAGGTTCTCAGATAACAATTCTTGCGGCTCAAGCGGCTCCTCGAGTTTTTGTTGGACAGGTCTCTATTGGGTAGCCATTTGTCGTTTCAAGTTGGTTGGTTGGTTTGTTTTTTAACGCCGCACTCGGCAATATTACAGCTATATGACGGCGGTCTGTAAATAATCGAGTTTGGACCAGACAATCCAATTCCAGTGTGGAGTGAGTGAATGCTGTTTTACGCCACTGTCAGTATCCCTGCAGTGTGACCTGATTGTGAAAAACAATCTGGGCCAGGCAGACCAACATCCCACACGGATCCATGCCATCAAGCTCGGGTAACACACAGCTTGTCCAACTGATTTGATTTGATTTGCCCCATGACGAGAAAGGGATACGCGGGGCCCAAACACAATAAACAAGTGTTCTATTATCTACATATTCTATCACGCTTTATTGAGAGTGACTTGTAAGGTAATTACAGTGACACATTTCGGTGATACCTTAACCTATAGTTCAGTGAAAAGTGATCTCAAGAAGTTCCAATTAAAATAGTGGCATAGTCTTTTTCTCAACCCAGTGATCCAATACCCTTCTCTCTATATGAATAGAGTGAAATGTGATCACAGAAATGTACCCTACCTACTATCATGTCCTATTTCATTGAAAAACTCAATGCATCAGCAATTATACCATCTTGTGTTCTCAGTATGACTTCAACTTTGCAAAAGCTTCTTTAAAAAAACTCCCTTATGTCTTTATTGCACAATATTTTACACGATACATTTTTGTCTTGTCCAGCGGTAGAAACTAACACTAGTCCACTAGTCCTTATAATGATAACATATAGCAAAACCCTTAATAACTACTAATTTTTACTAGTCCTTATGAAACCTTAACTACTGGGCAGTTTGGTAAGGACTACAGGACTAGTGCCAGTTTCTAACGCTGCTTGTCTAAGAATCCAGAGAGTCATTTTTAATAGACTTAAATTCCTGTGAAGTGAGTCAACAGCTGGCATCTAAGACAAACAATAACCCATGTTACATAGCACTAAGATAACACATATTAATATGGCAAACAATAGAACTAGTGCTTTAAAACTCTATCGTATGAGTTGAGTTATCCTATAAAGTAGACATTATTCTTAAGTAGACAATGTGAGCTGTAGCTATAATTACACTTCTAATTGTTCAAATCATTTGGAGGTAGTGGAGTGGTTAACACGTCCACCTGTCACAACAAAGGTCTGGGTTTGATTCCTCACATGGGTCCAAAGTTTGAAGCCCATTTCTGGTGTCCTACCCTGATATTGATGGAATATTGCTAAAATGACGTAAAAACCAACTCACTCACTCAAAACACTTTTCTTAAAGATTATAGGATTTGATGGTTAACATTCAAATTTTGTTTTTTAAAAAGCTTAATCTTTGGTAAAGAAATATTTTTAAATCTCAATACTAAGGGATTACATTACTCTCATTGTTTTGTACTATGAATGTTCTTAATCAGTCAATTGAGTTTACTTGTCTTTGAAAACGTTAGTGCTGTACCAGAATAAATTATCTTTATGTACAAAACATATACAAACAAAAACTTCCCATGAACATGATGAAGTTCAATAATACAATAAACACTCTAAAAATGTGAAATTTTACTTTCTGACAAACAATTTATTAAACCTAGAATAGGTTTGGAAGTATCCATCAAATGCGTGATGAGTGATGAGTGATGAGTGAGTGAGTGAGTTGGGTTTAACGCCGCTTTTAACAGTAGTCCAGTTATATCACGGTGTGTTAGCTTAATGTGGGAGGAAAGCCCGAAATGATGCAGGTCTCAGACGTTTACCACTTCGGTGAAACCCACGAGCAGGGTATGGTGCTGACAAACCTAGAAACATAATCGGGGCGAACCAGGATTCAAACCCACAATCACAGGTGTCTGGCGTGCCCAAGGAACGCAACTCTGCAGTGCGAATGGTGGCGCCTTAGACGACTGGGCCACCAGTGCCCCCGATGAGTTAACAAGTGATAAATATAATCATTCACTGATTCAGATATACCTAAATCTTAACGTTTATACATCTTTTAATGAGAGTGAGGTTTTGTTTTGTTTTCAGTGTTATTTCAGCAAAACGGTGGGTGCCAACTTCAAAAGGTAATTAACATGTGACCATGTAAGGAATCAAACCTGGTACTTCTATTTGACATGCGAGTGCCTTAATCACTATGCCAGAATCCCCAAACATCTTTGTCATACTGTCCCAGAATAGAACACAAACATACCTCCATCATGGTGTAGAGTAATTTGTTTGTCTGACGCGCCAGTTCGTTGATTTAGGAATAAATCACATGAGCAATTAATCAAACTTCAAATTGTAAAGGGCGCAAATCAAAGATAGTAATTGTCTAAGTTATGATATCATAAATTAAATAACAAAATAAACAATTCCATCCGTCAGTATGTTGCTACACTGATTCCATGTCCACATTAACTGATGATGGCGTATAGCGTTTCACTGTGTAGACTCAGCACCTCTTTCACTGTTGCCGACGTTAAGGCTCCCTTGTTGTCTCTTGTTTTGCTGACCGTCACAGTAGAACTGTTGACACCGAAAACAGCTCTAACCTGGAACCCAGAACAATATTTTCTGTACCCATAATAAACTTTGTCATCATAGATGTTTTCCTACATAGAAATTCAGAAATAGCCACTTTTATAAAAAAATACCATTTTCAGACAAAACCAGTATAGTTGGTTGGTTGGTTTGTTGTTTAACGCCGCACTCAGTAATATTACAGCTTTATGATGGCGGTCTGTAAATAATGGAGTCTGGACCAGACAATCCAGTGATTAATATCATGAGCATCGATCCATGCAATTGGAATCGATTACATGCTTCAACCAAGTCAGTGAGCCTTACCACCCGATCCTGTTAGTCGCCTTTTACGACAAGCATAGTCACCTTTAAGGCAAGCATGGGTTGCTGAAGACCTATTCTATCCCGGAATCTTCACGGGTACAAAACCAGTATAATTAAAATCAGATCTGTTTCTCTGATACATCTGCATGAACATCTGACAACCCCTTCAAAGGATGTCGCAAAAACTGACGGCCAATTCTAAATGAAAGACATGTGGGTTCTTGAGACCATCAAAAGTCAGCTTTCCAACGTGATTCAAGTTCATATATTTACCACTACAAATTTTAATTTTTAAAATAGAATATCCACAGAGTACACAAATTTTTATTTGATGGTACTCATGTTTGGTTGTAGTTGCTATAGCAATCAGAAATGACAGGGTGTTTACAATATTCACAACGTAATTGTGCAGCCTTTATTGTTAACATTCAGAACTAGCTGCTTCACTCACTTATATCTAAAATTTAGAAGCCTCAACGCTTATTGCCTCTTCACTGACATGACCTCCTTTGGGGGCAATGTGAGACTTTCATGCAGAGAGGAATTGTATCTGTGTAAAATATGTGATTATATGGGGAATGAGACAGAACATAAGTATAGAAAAATGTAAGGATATATATTGATAATGAAAAGGATATGAACAAAGTAACTCACCTGGTCTACAAGTTGGTCTACAGAAAGGGTATCACCTCAAGGGTTCTCTAAGAGTAATGTCCCCTTCTCAGCCTTGCCTTCTGACCTGATGACCTCAACATTAGCAAAGTGACACACTGGTGTGGTGACCCCTGCTGGTGTTGGACCTGACTGATTGGATGAACCAGATATATAAAGTGTTCGCGTGGAGTAGTCGGCCATCTTGGAATCGGGTGAAAACTGTTTTGTGCGAGCAGCATCTTCGAACACCTTCACTGTCTGTCCCCGAACTCCAAACACCCTTTGTGCCTGTTGTGACAAGTAGCAAAATGAAAGATTGCATCGATAATAAAACACTGCCATCAGAAATATTAAGCATTTTTGTTTATGGCTCTGAGCCAAAAAGATAAAAATAATTAAACAATTGTTGAAAATTATTTTATTTAATATCTCCTGATTTGATGGATCAGAAAAGTAAAAATATTTTGTTCCACTACAAAAATAATATTAGGATTTATTATTGAGAGTCCACCCACTGCTAACAACTAAATCTCCCAATGGTATGGATTGTTTCTCATATCTCAATCACTGATTTGTCTGGTACAGACGCAATTTATTTACAGGCCAATGTCATGTAGCTGGAGTATATAAATCCACTCCAAGTGGGCATTGTGACCAACCAACTCTCGTTGCAGTCACACTTCACCATATGCATCAGGATATATTCTCCAAACAAATCTATAGGTTTCACAAGTTTGGATACTTACACAAAGACCGAGATCATGAATTTGAAACATTTGGTTTAATGGTGTCTTATTCTTGTAAACTGACGCCAAAACATGTATCATATTTTATTACGCATAACACTTACTTAATGCATATCAAACTTCACATTGATAGATGCAGAAATGACAGATGTTAAAAAATGATATTTCAATATGGCTGCCTCGGCAGCCATGTCTAATATCAGATCAGAACTGAGCACAATTCAGAGACACAATAGCTGGGATCCTTCATGCAAAGTTTCAGCTTCAAAGCCTTGTAGTTTCAGGGACCAGGGACCAGGGATGAGCAACATTCCTTGCCATCAAGTTGAACAGATTTGTAAGACATTGGACTCAGAACTCATACAATTAAAAACATTAGTTAAACTACCATAAGCCCAAATCCCTTTTCAGTGATGATATAGTCTGATGAGCTTCTAAATGAATCAACTCAAATAAGTCAAACTAAATCACACAACTAATTTTGATCAGCAAATAACTCTCAAGTGAAATCCAAGAATTTCTAAACACAAGCCTACCTCAGCTGCCAAGTCTTTTGCAGCCAGTGGGAAGCTCCCGACAGGGTTCTCCAACAGTAATGTGCCTTGTCTGCCAGTGAAACCCTCTTGGGCAACTGCTCCTAACAGCGTCAGGTTTAGAAACCTACAATTAGGCTTCACACCATTCTTGACAGGAGCCGGAGCAAGATGTGATGTTGTGGAGCTTGAAGGAGCTCCTGATGCAGTGCCTCGTCTTACGATGGCTAGTTCTATCTTGTCAGACTTGATTTGGAATGAACAGAGCAACAGTATGTAACCAACCAAATGATTTACAGGATGTAAAATAGTGCTCCCATACTCTAAAAAGTGTCACTGCACTGTAGTACGTCAAATTCACTTTCAGAAGAGGGACTTGGATTGGTTGTTGATATCTAGTTGATGAGCCAGAGAAATTCTGGCTCAGACAATAAAAGTAGAAATTGGGATGGTGGTCATTAAAGTTTTGGAATTCACTGACTGGAACCGCCATTAGCATGGACTGGAACACCAACATTTATAGAAGAAGCCCCATAAATCCAAAACAGACAGGCCGAGGTAAATCTCCTATTTGGATAACGAGTGTACCGGTGTTCAAAATTAAGCATGAAACTTGCCCTAACCCTAATAACATATAACGAAAGAGGGTTCCCTACACTCAATTGCTTCAAGGGCGGATCCAGAGGGGGGATCCAGAGGGGGGATCCAGAGGGGGGGTCCAGTTGTCCGCCCCCCCACCGCCCCCTTAAAAACCAAATGTAGTATGTTGAGGCAGAAAAATTGACAGAGAGAATTTTGATATTTTGGACCCCTCCCTTTTAAAAATGCTGGATCCGCCCTTGAGCTTGAGTGGCAAACCTGAAATTTCAGACACTTTGAGACGCTGTTTAATAATATAATGGGTGTCTGCATGACCCTTACCTCTGAGCTCTCCTTGATGAGTTGTTCCCCCTGGGTGGAGAAGATGAAGTCGGAGAACTCGCTGATGATACGAGTTAAGTTTGACGAGGCCTGGTAGAACACGGTGATCTCATCTTGGGGAGCCAGATTTGCCTGAAGAGCAGTATGAGATCATTCAACACTAGATTATCTTACATACATAGTAGTGTGTGACAGTGAGAAGGCCTGTTGTTTTTTCTTGTTTGTTTGGTGTTTTAAGGCAGACTTAACAATATTTCAGCTTTATGATGGCGGCCTGTAAATAATCAAGACTTGCAAGAATGACCCACTGACCCACTAAGTCACCTCTTGAACCAGCATATTAGGAACCTATTCTAACCCGGGATACCCATGGGGAGAGAGTGACAATGAGATTGTGAGGAGTAAGACTGTGAGAGGAGTAAGCGGGCATAAGATTGTTATAAAGTGCTCAAAAGTAAATAGTGTAAACAATGTGAAAGAGGGAGAATTTCTAATTTGATAGTCACAATTGAGAGTGAAAGTTTGTTATTGAGAGAATGGTATGAGGTTTCACCTTCTTCCTGAGTTTCTGTATACGGTTGATGACTTCTCTGGCCACCCCCTCATCCAACATGGACTGGTTCGGACTCACGTCCAGCAACACAAGGAGCTGAAACATGAAGCAACATCAGCATCAACAACCCGTAGATCAGAATTTCAGGGAGTCCAAAGTCAGGCTGGTACTACATGTCTACCACTTTGGCTGAAATATTTTTTGGGGTATTGTATTGACCAACCATGCAAGGATCAAAGAGTAAACTTGGGGTCCAAACCCACAATCAGGAAATCCTGACAGGACCAAGGCAGGTAATTCTACAAAGCAAACTCCAGCATCTTAGATGATTGTGGCATCTAGACCCATCCACACAGTCACTCACACCCAAAATACTATGTTGTCCACAATCAAAGTGCATCCAGTCTTACGCATTTTGAGTACTCATTGTTAGATGAATGAGTGAGTATGGTTTTACGCAGCTTTTAGCAATATTACAGCAACATCATGGCAGGAGACACCAGAAATGGGCTTCACACATTTTACCCACCTAGGGAACTGAACCCGGGTCTTAGGCGTGACAAGAAAACGTTTTAACCACTGGGCTACCAAACCGCCCCGGCATTGTTAGATACTTGAACAGAATATGTTCTTCAAAGAACATAAACTATCTATAGAAAATATTATTCTAAAATAGGACGGACATACAGGAAGTAAAATAACAGACAGACAACAACATGACGTGCATGAACATGGTTAATTAAGTTTTTTTGGTTGTGGTGGTCAGGTACCGTACATTCAACTCCTGGATGATATTGACAAATGGCAGATTGAAAACACGGTAAGATTATCTCCTAAATCAATGTAGAGCTAGGTTACCTTTAGATTTAACCACGCTAATTTGAATTTGAAACCGAACGTGGACTTGAGGTTTTCAAATTTTAAATTTAGAGAGGTTAAATCAACAGGTAACCTAGCTCTACATAAAAAACACAGTGGGTTTATCTCCATTCTACCATGACTAAATAAAACGCAAACTCTTTGGTGTTAGGTAATACATTGAGTGAAGCGGCATGGAGTACATATATATAATCACCACAAAAAGAAACGTGAACCAAAGAAACATATAGAGAACTATGTACGTTAAGAAGAGATGTTTCCAAGGTGTACAATTAATGACAAAACTAACAATCAGTCAAGTGTTACCACAGAGTGTCTTTTTCTTATCACAATATGCTGCACATAATTTCCAAACTTTACAAGCTAATCCTGCACAAGACAAATGGTGCATTTCGAGTCATGGATCTATGACGTCACATGATGGTTTCATGAGCGTCTGTTCACACAACATAACTGTATGTTCGTTTGTGCGTCAAACCCATCAAGTACCTCTGGAATATGAGTAATTCTTCATATATTGACCAACAAATATGCAGTTCACGTTTCTTTTGTTGGTGACTATACATACACAAAAAGAAAATAGTTATTCAGTTGTGTATGCTCTGGTTATCTCACTGGTTATTTCTTCAGTTTTCTACTTGCCACAAAACAAAGATATCAAACAATCTGACAAGGAGTGTCACAGCAGGGATTCAGAGGTAACACAATGTATTGAACTTTCATCAGGTTAATATGTGATATTTAATCATGTGACGTGATATTTGTTTGCCTTTGAAACAGAAAAGTTACATAATTCTGCAAGATCTTTAGTGAAAATTAGGGTTTTATAAGTCTACAAATTTTGTCAATAAATCTTATATGCTGTTGCGTCCTGGCAAATGTTGAAAAAATATGTTGTTTCAGAGCTAATTAATGAAATGGATGTTTCACAATGTATGCAGAATCTTCCACATCTACATCAGTTTGTGTGTAGCTCTACACCACTGTCAGGCTGTACACACTTGAATCCGGGACAGACAAACCAGTGGTTGATATTATGAGCCAACTTCAGTGAAACCCACGAGCCTGGGTAAGGTGCTGACAAACCTAGAAACATAATCGGGGTGAACCGTATTTCGAACCCACAATCATAGCTTTCTGGCGTGCCCAAGGGATGCAACTCTGCACAGCGAATCGCGGCGCCTTAGACGACAATTGTGACAACTGATACATTGAGTTGCCTCTGAAGACAAGATAAGGCTACAGGGAACCCATTCTAACACAGGTCCTCATGGAGAATAGTGTACATAATCTCACCTGTACGATGTATTTCTCCAAGGACCTGATGTCCTCCAGGGCACTGGGGTCTTGATGGATGGCAACCACTTCCTTCAGTGGGTACTGTAGCAGACAAAAACACTTGATCAATCAGATCAAATCATCCATAGAACATTTAATCCTGACAATCTAAGTGAGTGAGTTAGTTGGGTTTAACGCCGCTTTTAACATTATTCCAGTTATATCAAGGCGTGTGTCAGCTTAATGTGGGAGGAAAGCCCAAAGTCATGCAGGTCCCAGACGTTTACCACTTTGGTGAAACCCACGAGCACAGGTATGGTGCTGACAAACCTAGAAACATAATCAGGGCGAACTGGGATTCAAGTGAGCGAGTGAGTGAGTATGGTTTTGCGCCGCTTTTAGCAACATTCCAGCAATATCACCGCGGGGGACACCAGAAATGGGCTTCACACATTGTACCCACGTCGGGAATCGACATGTGACCTGACAAGAGAACCTGTAACACAAGAACATGTGACCTGACAAGAGAACCTGTAACACAAGAACATGTGACCTGACAAGAGAACCTGTAACACAAGAACATGTGACCTGACAAGAGAACCTGTAACACAAGAACATGTGACCTGACAAGAGAACCTTAACACAAGAACATGTGACCTGACAAGAGAACCTTAACACAAAAACATGTGACCTGACAAGAGAACCTTAACACAAGAACATGTGACCTGACAAGAGGACCTGTAACACAAGAACATGTGACCTGACAAGAGTGAGTGAGTGAGTTGGGTTTAACGCCGCTTTTAACAGTATTCCAGTTATATCACGGCGTGTCAGCTTAATGTGGGAGGAAAGCCCGAAGTGATGCAGGTCTCAGACGTTTACCACTTCGGTGAAACCCACGAGCACGGGTATGGTGCTGACAAACCTAGAAACAAAATCAGGGCGAACCGGGATTCGAACCATCATAGGTTTCTGGCGTGCCCAAGGGACGCGACTCTGCACAGCGAATCGCGACGCCTTAGACGACTGGGCCACCAATGCCCCCTGACCTGACAAGAGAACCTTAACACAAGAACATGTGACCTGACAAGAGAACCTGTAACACAAGAACATGTGACCTGACAAGAGAACCTGTAACACAAGAACATGTGACCTGACAAGAGAACCTTAACACAAGAACATGTGACCTTACAAGAGAACCTGTAACACAAGAACATGTGACCTTACAAGAGAACCTGTAACACAAGAACATGTGAGCCTTAACAGCACAAGAACATTTAACATGTGAACCTATATTGATTGATCTATTACACCAATATGAAGAGTGTTTAACATGTGAAAACACAGTGTGACAGTTTAATGTCATGGAGAGGACGAAAGTGACCCAGCTTCTACATGTTTGAAAACTTTTTAAGACCAATGAGCACAAGCGCAGTGGATCATAATGACCCAGAATTCTCATCCATTATTTTGAAAATTATCTCAAACACGAAATCACAAGAAATATCTACATCCCATTGTATATATCAGGTTCACATAAGCAAAATGCCAAACGTCAACCTTTAAAAGTCAGATATTTTACTGACTCCATTGCTCTCTATAGATCTCGACACCTCAAGCTCTATAGGAGCTCACACTGGGTGAAAACTGAACGAACTCTTATCACGAAAATCACCAAAATGTCAAAATGAAGGCTGGGCTGGTTTTGAACCAATCACATACCAGCATTCTTAAATAATTCAGCTTTACTGCTTCACCAACTCAGTCCTCTCCAACAATTGACAAATTTATTCCAGACTGTACACACTTTTGGGTGTAGATACGACAGGGAGTAAAAGAACCACAACACAGTATGGTCATTATTAGTCTCCATTCGGAACTACCTGTTTACATTCCTTTTCACTCGCCTGTACCAAGAACTTAGAATGCTGATTGGCAGGATAGAGAGTTCACCTTACATGCATTCCTATGGACACCTTTGACTGACGTTAATGGACAAGGGTATCAAATCTAGCAAAAGATCTGATTTAAGAGATTAAGAAAAAGTTTTTCAATTGAAGAAACAAGCCATACCCTCTCCAGCCGGTCTATGTTCTGCATGAGGAATCAGTAGGCATTGTACCAGGGCAGGAAGACATCCTTGAGGACATCCCTCACACCAGCCTCCTTGAAGCGCAGGTTCTCGGCCCTCACAGACGGGGAGTTGATCAGGTACAGTCTGAAATAATTGTTATGCCAAGTCACGTGATTTTGTATCCATCAGTGTCAAGAACCCACTCCAATGTAGACCAGTTTGTGTGATCAGCATCAAATACCCTGCCTGATTTATCTAATGGCATTAGTAGTTTGTTACAAATAAAAAACAACTTTAATCAATAATATAATAAAGTAAAACCCTCCCATCCCAGAATCTTTCAAATCTGACTACCTTTATAATATATGACTAGGAGCCATTCTACAAAGACATCTTAGTGCTACTTCAAGTGTAATACTTCAACTCCGCTTCATTGCACCAAGATCACCTTGTTGAAAGAGCCCTTGTTTTGAAAATTGTTACTTTGCCAACCACGACACGTCCATCAGTTCAACCAACCTGAGTGCATCTGCACCAAACTTGTTGACGATCTCTATGGGGTCGGGGTAGTTCTTCTTCCTCTTGCTCATCTTCTGTCCATCTCTGTGACATAGACATCATACAAACACAATTAAAACTTTATAATTCGTCACTGTAAAAACACTAGCAGCTGAAAGACCAGCCTTCGAAATTCATGCTGGTTCAGTGGCCCCAGACTACTAAATTGTGCTATGGACAACAAAGATTCCAGTTTACTTGCCATTTAAGGTGATGATAATTTTAAAACTTACTCTGCCAGAACCAGTCCGTTGACAACCAGGTTCTTGAAGGGCGGCTTCCCAAACAGCAGTGTGGACAGTACCAGCAGTGTGTAGAACCTGGGGCAGAATACTACAGTCTTCATACAGAACACAATTCTCTATACACAACACTACAGTCTTCATACAGAACACTAGTCTTCATACAGAGCACTAAAGTCTTCATACAGAACACAACAGTCTTCATACAGAACACTAAAGTCTTCATACAGAACACTAGTATCCATACAGAGCACTACAGTCTTCATACACAACACTAAAGTCTTCATACACAAGACTACAGTTTTCATAAACAACACTACAGTCTTCATACAAAACACTAGTCTTCATACAGAACACTACAGTCTTCATACAGAACACTAGTCTTCATACAGAACACTACAGTCTTCATACAGAACACTACATACAGTCTTCATACAGAACACTAGTCTTCATACAGAACACTACAGTCTTCATACAGAACACTACATACAGTCTTCATACACAACACTACAGTCTTCATACACAACACTATAGTCTTCATACAAGAACACTACAGTCTTCACACACAACACTACAGTCTTCATACAGAACACTACAGTCTTCATACAGAGCACAAAAGTCTCCATACAGATCAATAGAAAACATAGGAGACAAAGGTCACCTTTTCGAACCTGAATGGTACTAATACTCACCTCTATTACTGCGAAAACTACAATATTTCAAGGCTCTCAAGCCTTGCCCAATGTGTTTTGTCAGCCGCCATCTTGTTTTAGCAGACCATGTTTTATGGTGGGCGATAACGGTCCTTTAATTCCTTGGAAAGCAGAGCAAGAGCAGCGACACCAAGCAGGGGATCCGGGAAACATTCTATGGCCTTACGTGACACCAGCTGTTAATCTGGAGACAACAGATGTAATTACAGTTACTGTACATGTAGTATATTCACAAAGGCATTCAACAACATATTATTATATCATATGTACCTGCATAGGGCCTGTTGCATGTTAAAGTAGTGCAACCTATTCAACTGACTCTTTATGTATTGTAATGCATTGGTTAACATGATCATCAGATGGACACATTTTAAAAGTCACATCAAATGATTAAATATTTATAAATAAAAATAAATATTACTATATAGAACTTTTCAAATAATTTAAAAATAATAGTCTAGTCTGACCCTATAAATATGGGCAGATCTTTAATGTCCTTTCAATTAAATATGAAGCATTTGACGATTTATTCATTGTCCTGATTTTTTCATCAGTTGATCATATTTATAATGTTAATTCTTTGATTGAATCAAGACATAAGGGATCAACCATTTGGTATTCTGGTAGTAGGGCTGGGATTTTATTGAGAAAAATACATTGTCCCTGAAATATGCTTGAATAAAATATTCATGCTTCAAACTGTTTAAAAAAAAATTTGACTGCTACAAAGAATACATTGTTGCAAGAAGCATATAAAAACATGATTAGTCTCATAGTTGTAATTAAAAGAATATCTGGTATTTCAGCTGTAGCTGATAATATATTTTGTCCCCAAACACAATCCTAGACCCGACCACCATCCCCTACCCCACTCTCCCACCAATATCAAATGGTCCCTCAGTATGCTCAGGAATTTAATAATATACCCACGAAATTAGGGTACATGACCATATCTGACCATAAACATAGCCCAGTTCAAACGATTCCCGTTTCGTAATTATTGTCACGATAAAATATTTGCAGCTAAATATTTATTCGTGCTTTCATTGCCTTTAATTTTTTTGATGCGGGTATCATCAAAACTATTCACAAAATATTTTAGATATTATTTCGGTCAAAATTCAGTTTCATGTGTTAGCATTGACATTTTGGCCGTGTCATGTTGTTGCCTAGAAATGACAATTTCGTACAACCAGACACTATGACAAGCATATGAATTATGAATATAAGTGCATATGTAATAGTCCATGCAACAGATAGTTGACAACACGGCAGTTTCATACAGAATTTCTCAGAAACTTAAATTGTCTTGCGTAAGAACTTCATGATAATCTGTTCAGAAGGTAAGTTCATAAGAGATTCATCGCCCTCCATTTAAAACAAATCACTGCCGTGTCAATATTTGCACGAAATTAGTCAAAGAATACATTGACATCCCATAGCCGTTATGTTGGTACCAATACTTACCTCCATTACTTGGAAAACTACAATTTACCAGAGCTCACTAGCTTCGCCCAATGCATTTTGACAGCCGCCATCTTGTTGTAGCAGACGATGTGTCATGGTGGGCATATACCGGTCCTTTGATTGAAAAGCGGAACAAGTGCAGCGACACCAAGGGGAGGATCCGGGAACCAGTCTAGTGTGACTGGCAACAAAATACGACAAATTACGTCATAGGGTATGATCACGTGTTTGAAAAGTTTGTGGTACTGTATTCTAAAGGTAGGCCCTTGTCCCGGCATAATTGTCACAAATGACATCCCTTTGATCACGACTGGGAAATCTGTTATACCTTGAATACATGGTGCACCGTGAGCTCTCACGCGATGATTCCATGCACAGTTATTTTCTGTGTCGATACTAGACTGGGGTCCTGTCTACTAAAACTAGTATATCCCACTAAGCTTGCGTCGCGTACCAACAGTGGAACCAGTTTATATCGATACAAGACGATACACTAAAGTCTTGCTAAACTTACCACTCGTTTAATGACTCCAACTGTTTTGTCAGTTAAATATCGCAAAACGTGTTCAAGTTAACGTTTCAATTCGACTACTTAAAATAGCCGCTTCGAACATGTGTTTTACCTGTTTGAACCTGCCCGGTAATATTTCTAGTCAAGAGGTTTCTACGCGATTTGACTAAATATGGGTATCACATTGCGTATCTTATTGTGACCTAATATGTATCTAGATAGTATCGTATAGTGACCTTGCTGTATGACCCCTAGATCTATATTGTGGGTTCTACTGTACATTACTGTCCACAAAACACAGTGGTTTCCACACCACGATTATGACTAATGCTGAATAGCGAGTTGACAACAGATGGGGGTTAACAATCATTCCATACAAATGTACCCGGAACAAAATACCTTTTTTGTGTATTTCTGTTGTAACACGAGCCGTGTTTTTGCATTCCATCAAAATGACCGTGACCCTTTCCTGTCAAGGGCAAATAATTCATATAGAGAGTAGAGTGGTTTCCCTTTGACTACACAAGCTCTTTCCCAGCGCGTAACGCCTTCGTTACCCTCTCGGTAAAATCACTGCCCATTCATCGCCACTCGCCACTCGCCCCTCGCACTCTGTCTCATGTAGCGACGTGTGTGTGTGTGGCTGCTTGTACTAGTCCTGACTGATGCCGATTTATAGTACTAGCCCACTGAGATACCATACCGCAGTTTAACATGAATAGCCCATTCAGACACAGTATACTGACTTGGAGCCGACCAGTCCTTGTTTTAGCCCCTAAATACCGAGCGCCAGACAGGGTAACAACAAGTACCATCTTTTAACGCCTTTTGGTATGACGCGGCCAGGGATCGAACCCTAGACCTTCGCTCACCGATAAGGAATATTACTAACAGTAATGACAAAGTGAGCTTTTCAAGAAATATCCATTATGTTGGCGATATCATTGAGTTTTGATCACGTGGTGAATTCCTGATTTTGTCCACGCCTGGGATTTTGTATGGAGACTGGGTATTTTTTCAGCTACAGCTGCAAATCCAAAACTTTTTTAAAAGAAACCTATGAGCGTAAATATTTGGGGGTTTTAAAACACATCTTGGAACAATGTATTTTTTGTGGCAGACAATTTCTTTCTTTCCAAACAGTCTGAAGTAGGATTTTAAACGCATTTTCTGAGACAATTTCTTTATGACGATAAAAACGATCGGTGCCTAAGGTATGGACGCGAATCAGCGCCACAGTCTAAAAAGATTGATCATCTACGTAGGTCATACTTTCATCCCCGTATGGGATGTTATAATCGAACGTATCGTTTCTCAGACAGTGATATTGCCTGGTGAAGTTGCAATACCAGTTAGATACAAACATATATATTTTAAATTAAGGTGATTACTTAAATACTGTTAATTTATTTAAATGTTTGGAAGCATGTTGGTTGTTGTTTTCAACGTGTCAAACTATTACCGCTAAAAAGAATAAACACAAACTGCAGAATTGTACCTTCAGTGCTTTAAAGGGTAATGACGAGTATTGGTTTGATATAGGTTTATAGTTTGAGTGAGTCTAACCCCTTCATTTCACGGTTTACCTCTTAACCCTAATTTCCGTCATGGAGAAATCACGAGGATCAAAATATTCCCCCAGATTTAACCATGTTATGGTTAATATATAATTTCGCTTAAATTTTGAATAGTGGCCTATAGCTGTTTATTTGTTTGTAGTTTGGAGAACATTTTGTGCTCTCCTCTCTTTATTACGGTTGTAAAAGAGTGTGGCGTGTGTTATTCTCCAGTAACTTCGACATATTGAAATAAAGATTTACTTTATACAATGAGTAGATAATACCTCAGTTAAGACGGGTGAAACAAATTGGTCATTATTAATTAAATATTTATTATTCATTAATTAAGCCAGTGGTTATATATAACTGACCGCATCGATTAGTCGAGAAAATATTGATACATAGATGAAAGCAGTATCATCATCAGTATCATCTACGTAGATGATATTTTTGTTTAGACTGTGACGCTAATACCCTTCCATACTAAGGCCTTGTGCGATTACATTGCAGAATTTCTAACTAATTTTACGTGTAATCATGTTGACGTCTAATCACTGTGGTCTGATATATGTGTAAGAACATTACTTGGAATATTTTAATGAAGAATGAAACCCGTATCCTACACGTTTCTGCATGTGGTAAGAATGGTTATATTATGTATTGAATTCAAACTTTCTGAGATTCCAATTTTCTTTAGAACTATCAACTTGGTAGAATGTCTATTGATGATATTTTAATGGAAAATTGGCAATTATCTTTGTTAAATTAATACTGTTATAAGTTGTCTTCTTGATGTATTATTAATAATAATACCGTATTAATGTGAACAGTATTCTTGAACGTTTGAAACATATTGTACCAACTGCTATTATACCAGCATGCTTGAAAAAAAACAACTCCAACTTATTGAAATGTAGAATGGGCCAGTGGTCTTACATTACTGAAATACATCTATGTCTATGTCTATGAAATCGTCAACCTCTTCAACTTCAGCAATGTTAAAGATAAACATTTTAGCTCTTTCTTCACCAGAAGGGAGACACGGGTGACCCAGTCGTCTAGGTGCCGCAGTTCACTGTAGAGAAATGCATACCAGAAACCCAACATCGTGGGCTCCAATCCCAGATTCGTCCTGATCATATTTCCAGGTTTGTCAGCACCACACCCCAATCTCATTAAAATCAGATCTTAGTTCTCGCTACTGTAAACAAAGGTCTGGGGACATCCTATTGCGGGTCATAACAGAACGACCTTTCGCGAACTTTGACCAATGAAAGGACTAACAAGTCGACATAAGCCATTCAGAATGCAGCTTTCTCTAGCTATACGCAACTAGTTTCAAACAGACGACTACACTTTCAAAAAAAGGTTGACAAAGTTCTCGATTCGAAATGTGAAAACTTAACAAAAGAACATACTGGACTGTCTAACAGATGGCCTAGATTGTATGGCACTACTTCCTACGGACAATGCAAAGTCTCTTCCGTTCAAATGTTCATCTCAATGAAGCTGGGTGTTTATATAGTGACCTCTTTGTATTGTTTCCCTGCATTGAATTACAGATACACGTCCTTGACTGATTCAATCGTAAAGCCCGTAACTGTCGTTGGGAATATCCTGTGTTTAGCTTTTAGACTGGTCGATATTTTCTAGTGGATTAACTACGAAAATAAATGATTGCTGCTACTAGTTTATAAAGTGTGACAAAATAAATACCAGAGCTTGGAGACGAGGTTTCGCGAAAATACATCACAAAGATCTAAAAGTTGCGAACGTCGAAACTGTCGAAACACAGAAGGATCACACAACAATGAGGTAAGGTTCAATAACGAGTTTATTAATTAATCACTGAACTGAAAAATCTTGTACAATGTCCCGAGATCGCCAGACATGATACCGGCTGTCAACTGTACTGGAAACATCAGTCGCTCGTCATTGTCTGTCACATCGTGGCTCTGGAATCCGGTTTTTGTCTGTATCCCTCCCACGATTGATATATATGAACTGTTAAAATAATGAAATTGTACAATAAACTTTGAAACTTGAAAGTGTACGAAGTTGGCTGAAACCAGAACTGGATCCATGTAATGTAATGAATACATCCCGGAAGTCGCGTGACCCAGAATGAATGCCGAGGACGCCACATCTCCTAGAGCTGTCGAAATGCGATATAAGTAATTAAAGCATGGGAATACTTAATAATCATACAGGATCGACTCTAGAACGATCCCTGTAGACATTGGTAGGTAAAAGCCCTTGACTGTGACGGTCGGAATGACCTTGGACCCCCCGGATCAAAAAATCTGTAAACTGTTATATTTTATAGGGACGAGAAATCACATGCGACTTGTGATAACTGTAACTTGTATACTTGAATCATTACGATCTTGGAATATTTTGGTGAGGTAACAAAACATAATTATTGAAGCTTTTATCCATTTTTTAACTGATATTTTCCATCAATAATAGCTGTTCAGATTCACTCAGCAAGATTTTTGTTTACCAACAGGCATGATACGTGTTAGTTCAACGTTCACATTTCAACCTCGGGCTCTGTAAGAGATAACTGCAGCATGGAAAACATGAGTTATTTTAATTAGGAGTTCCGACCGTGTAACCATCCGATCCTCATTGTAATGATCTCTTAAATAACGACTGCTTGGCTGCAGCGACTGCTTGGCGTGGAGTCTTTGGGCGGGAGCTCGACCTCCTTCGAGGTTTTGATGGTTTGATTTTTCTGCGCTGACATAGTGAACAAATCCTTAAAAATCAAGCAACATTTCATCTACCCAATCCCCATTTTGACAAACTCTTAAAATAACGATAGGTTAGTTGAAACGACAATTTGGCATGGGCCGCCTATGAAGCCATCTCTCGCTTTCAGTTTTCATAACAAGGAATGCAGAAAACATGAATGTACAAGACACGTTCTTCTAGCAACAGCGTTTATCACATACATTTTAAGCAGAATATTATATAAATTTTAATTCATGTATGAAACAAAGTGTATGTTATCAAAAATAGTCCAAAATAGTCCAAATGGTTCATCCGAAAGGTCCTAAAACTAGTAGTTCACACAACATTGGCACAGCAAACAATTCCAAAGTCTATCTCTCCGTGAAGAAACTCTGGAACATGTATTTCACACAGGACACAAGGACGGCCGAGCACGACTGGGGCTGCTTGGATTCTTCACCAAGATCTATCTCCACAACTTGAGGGCGGGCTCTGGGGGCGGGGAGGGAGGTCTGGGGGTCGGGCTGGGATGAGAGGGGGTTGACGGTGATGGTGAAGACACTGGGGCGCTTATAGAGAGGAAATAGATGTCCTTAAATAATTGAAATCAGTATCAATCCACAGTTTAGCGTGTATGAAACAAACATGAAAAGGTCGACCATTTTGCACCTACTTTATCTGGATATTTAAACATATAGCAAGTGAAGATACATGTATACCGCCTACCGACTAACACAGAGAAATGCGACAAAAACATTTCTATAATCACAGAAAATCTGTATTTGTACGATTGCGACAGTATCATGAGAGTCAGAGCACGATTTAGGAATTAGATATGGCTTGCACCTGATGCAAGTTGACATCTCAACCATTTTTCACTAGACTTAACCGATTGCACTCCTAACAGAACCTATTCACTGACAAGATCACTTTGAATGGAATCACTTATACATCCCACATATTCATTTGCATTCTTGTTTTTATCATAAGACTTACCTGATAAGATTCATGACGAAAAGCACAAAGGACAATGTCAAATTACTCAAAACACTGGGAATGTGATGTAGTATGGTACAAAAAGTGTATTGAGTTCAAAGATGTAAGTATAAAGCTTTTTTAGTAAGTCAGTAACAAAGTTGTAAAATTTTGACATGCACTGGGTGCAAGTATAGATAAAAAATATAGACTGCATTTTTCAATATCAGGTGGCACTTGTGCCCCTTTTTTGTTAAATCGAGCCCTGGTCATGAGCATGTGTTTTTCAATCACTAACAAATAGTGGTGATAACTGTTGTTTGTGAAAAGGTCATATATAGGGAAACGGAAGTTATTTTAGACTTTTTTTTCTAATAGGACACATTCAAACAACTTGAACCTAACGATGACCTACAGGATCAGGGACAGGAAGAGTCTTTTGGGAGACGGGGGCCTGGTAGGTCCTAAACCTGTGAAGATCATCCTGAGCTATAATGGAATAAATGAAATAATAAAACATCATCATCCATCCTCATTGTGTAGACTATAACATAGACTTTGGTTATTGAAACATGATTCCTGTGTGTTTTTTAAGGAGATTAAGCAAATTATGCCAACGTTGCAGGGTTCTGTGCCAGGAAGTTTGGTTTAGGTAAAATGGTCACTGGACATTTTGGGACAAGAGAGACCTATACTTCACAAGTCCCTCCCCTTGACACCACATATGAAAACATACACAAATCATGTTTCACTTTCTGGATCCCATTGCCATGGGAAGGAAAGGGGAAACATAGATCTATTGTTACTTTGATCATATATCATGATACTTTGACAGTGATTATTTTAATAACCGCCATACAAATTCACTTCACAAAAGATCAACTGTAAAACACAAAGTACATAAACATATACGAGGGACCGGCGACGTACATGAAATGTCCCATCTGCTAATGAGTATGTCTGTCATTTTCTTTCACTTTTATTCTTACCAAATGTTTACGACAGATTCAAGTTGGGAATACAATCCGTCAAAAGGTATCAATGTGTAAGCTTTGAAATCAAGATAAAAAGCAAACATCGGTAAACACTGAAAACACTGTTAGATACCTTGATGATAAACCAAAGCAACAGTGGCATACATCGTGAAGAACGTGCGATACGTGCGGGATAAAGAGCAAAATGTAAACACAGACGTGGAAACAAAGTGCAGCAGCAACAACCAAAATGGCGTCGTTTGTGAATAACGGAAGTAGCAACGGTCTCCATGGGGATGCATCAGCGATCACCGCTTCTCGCTGCTTTCCGTAAACTGCCCCTTTCCGTAACCTTCTTGTGCTGGAATAATTGTCACAAATGATATCCTTTACCGGAATGACAAGATTGATCACGACTGGGAAATCTGTCATACCTTGAATACATGGTGCACCGTTAGTTTTCATGCGACGATACGATACACGAAACGTTATATTCTGTGTCGATACTAGACTGGGGTCCTGTCTACCAAAACTAAACTTGCGTCGCGTACCAACAGTGGAACAAGGTTTATATCGATACAAGACACACTAAGCTGGGCCCCGTTTCAAATATCACAATGTAGCTTGGCGCAAGTTGACGACGCTCAAAGGAATCAGCTTAGACGATACACTGTCTTGCTAAACTTACCACTCGTTTAATAACTCCCAGTGTTTTTTGCCAGTTAAGTATCGCAGATGTTTTGAAGTTAGGCTTTAAAGTTCACTCACAAACATAGCGGCTTCGAACATGTGTCTGCTGCAACTGTTACCTTTTGAGCTTGCTCTGAAATATCGAGTTTCCACGCGATTTGACCTAAATATTGGTATCGCGATACGTATCGTATCGTGACCTAATACGTATCGTGATACGTATCGTAAAGTGACCTTGCTGTATCGTTTGACCCCTATATTATTGTTTCTACTGTATATATTTCTGGGAACAAAACCTTGCATGTCCAAACAACGATTATGACTAATGTCTAACAACACAACGAGTTGACAACAGATGAGGGGTTAACAATCATTCCATACAAAATGTACCTGGAACAAGATACCTTTTTTGTGTATTTCTGTTGTAACACGAGCAGTGTTTTTGCATTCCATCACAATGACCGTGACCTTTTCCTGTCAAGGGCAATTAATTCATATAGAGAGCAGAGTGGTTTCCCTTTGACTACGAGTACACAAGCTCCTTCCCAGCGCGTAGCGCCTTCGTTACCCTCTCGGTAAAATCACTGCCCATTCATCGCCACTCGCCCCTTTCCGTAACCTGCAATTCGGTTTGTCCCGGAATTACACGAGATGGTCTAGGGTGATCACTGTAGCCACACTCCGTCGCAGTGGTGACTCAGCATAACACCACTGCCACAGGCTAATTTGCATATCACGTGACCGGACTTTTCTCTTGTTTGTAAACAAACGCGCTTTTTCAGAAATCAGTATAGAACAGACTAATGCAAGTATTTGGGGGCGCTTCACATATTGTTTTGCATAACTATATAGATATGCTACTACAACTGCGACAGTGAGTTGCATGACAATATATATTTATGCATCAAAGTGACCGTGTCGCTAGCTCTCCGTTGGGCTTCGATGACAGCACGTGGAGCCGTACAACCAATGTAAACATAGGATAACTACGCAAAAACAAGTAGATTTTTACGTATTTGCATACTTTCTCAATGAAAGTTAACCATTCTTTGACATTTGTTTATGAAAATGTGTAGACTTGTCAAACATGAAACGGATGAAAAGCATATGCAATATCTTGAATGGACTGTGAAAGATGTGACGAATCGTCACATGGCGCTGGCCTGTGGCAGAGGTACTATGCTAGCTGGCTGCCGGCCGCATGGAACTCTGGGTAGGAGAGTGCACTGTAGCCAGTGTGGAAGCGGCCATTACAAGAGTATTGAAATTTGGCCCCTAACCTCAAATGTAGTCATTTATATTTTGGTTAATGTCTTTGGGAATGCCACCATGGTGAATTTTGACATTTTGACTGACCAGATTTCCCAGATGAATTTAACTCTAGGACAAACGTAGGACAATATCTGAATAGCAAAATACACTTTAAGCACAATATTGGTGTGCATACTGTAATGTCTAGTAATGAAGACACGTGGCTGGCACTTTATTTAGGAGTGCTTCACAACATATATTACATCCCTCTTTTTCTGACAAACACACGTTTTTAACAGTCCAGTACTGAAATTAATATATACTTAAATGCAACAGTAAACCGATGATAATGAATTGCAATAAATGCAATATTAAAATGCCACTGCTCAGTAACTTGTTTGTTGTTATTCACTGTTTTAAAGTCTTTCTCAAAGTCTTTGAGCACACTTCATAGACCATTCTTAGCCAATATGCGTGACCTCGAGGTCAAATCGAAAACGAGGCTAACGTAGGCAGTCACTCCCTGGAAATGGCGACCTCGAAAAGGAAAGATTACTGCTGTGTGCCGTTGTGTAGAAGTGATGCCCACGGGGACTTTACAGGATAAGACCGTACGAAGGCAGTGTTTGGCGAAAATACGCAGAGATCCTGGAAAGTCATTCACAGTAAGTACTTACTAGGCCTATTAATGATACCGTATTTCCTCTATTAGACGCCCGGGCTTCTATTTATTTCGGAATAGCCTTTGACCCGGCGTCAATTAGAGGCCCGGCGTCTATTGGAGGCCCGGCCTCTATTAATACCCCCATTTCACTATGACCACGAATGTCCCGAATCGTCACGAAATGGAGATATTTTGTGTTCGTAGATATCCGTAGATATACCTTAATCAATTCTCGAAGTCCGTACTTGAATCGTGACACTCTATACGAGTTGCACTCGTGACATATCGGATCGAGGACCGTTTTCCGACACACGTGGAATTACCGGAAGAGAAAGGGAGTCCTCATTATGTAATTTAGGTCCCAAAAAGGGATCATTAATTGTATCATTTGATTGACCCGGCGTCTATTAGAGGCCCGGCTTCTATTTTTTGCACTGAACAATTGACCCGGCTTCTATTAGAGGCCGGCGTCTAATAGAGGAAATACGGTATGTCACATAGGCATCGCGAAACATATTCAAACTGTTCAATGTCCAAGATCAAAATGACATTCATCCACCCAAAGACATGTTATTTTATATAGTCTATAAGCTGACATAAAACATAATGAAATTCGTTTTTCAGTAGTTTGCCAACATGTCATACAAGTAAATGTGGAGAAATGCCTATTCTGACGAGTATGTGTAGGTGGTCTAGACCTGTGTAATGTTTAGGCCAGTGTTGGTAGAAAAATCCTATTTGTGTTAGGCCAAGTGAACTGTAAGTACTAGGTACGCCTAGTAGCTACATAGACATTTAAGCCTTTGGTAAATATAAAATAAGATGCGAGATAACATGGATTTTCGAATGTATTACTGTCACCAACTTCTAACCATTTGTAATTTATGTAAGTGGACAGAATTAGAAAATTAATCAGGAGTTTGTAAAGGGAGTGAGGAAAGGAGGCTGAAATGGCTCAGAACTTTACAAAAAGCCTAGACCTAATAAATGTTTTTTATTGAATTGAAGGTTTTATATTAACTTAATTAAGTATAGTTTGTATAATAGTAAAGGACATTATTTCCAGGCCTCAAAGTTTATTTTTTTACCAAGTGGCTACAAACATTTTTTTCCAGGTAGCCAGTTGTAAAATCAAGAAGTCAAGCCAATATTGTAGGTAGCCAAAAACATGTGAAATTATCTTTTATCAAATAACTATTTTAATATGTACAAGTCATAGCACTAGTCTTGGAATTGTATATTAGTGGAAACTGTACTTGATTTTTGTTATTGGTGACTCAAACCATGATGCAATTTATGAAACAAGACTATTTAGGTGTATCCTTGCTTATCAAACTAAAATAAAATACTAATTCCATTAATATTTATGTATTTCTGTTCATAGTCGACTATAGAGGAATTATACATAAGAACAATTACCAGCAGACATGTTTTCCACAATCAGCTTTAAGTTATTTTTTTTAACTTCAAATGTGAAGCAATAGAATTTAGTTGCCACAATATATTTTTCAAGGTAGTCATTTGGCTACCTCTGCATTTTAGACAGAAGAAATTTGAAATTTAGGTCGAATTTGCGACCGTTTAGTCGCAACTTTGAGGCCTGATATATCTACATATTGAAGACATTGATATTTTCACTAGATACATCTATAACATGTGTTTACTATCTTATATTTTTATTCAAAGATAACCACAAACACAGTTGTGTGCAGCAATCATTTCATGAAGGATGACTTCAAATGGACACCTAACAGTACGACTCTGTAGCCAGGTGCTGTTCCCTCAGTGTTTCAGCGGACTGTGAACAGTGGGGCTGCTGGCAGGAAGCCACCCTCTTGGAGACACTCATGCCATAGAGGTAAGGAAATGTTAATTGTAACCAGTCTGTATATCAGTGAAATAAGATTTGCTGCAAGTCTTCGTAATATTTCAAGTACATATGACACACATGTAGGTAATAAAAAAACTTTACTAAATACCCTATAATGACACTGACCAGTGACCACTACTTCAGCAATATAGGAAATATCATAGGGCAAGAAAGTGACCATAACAGAAATATATTTACTTTTCAAATATGTATTTCAGATGATGTTGATCAAGAGATTCAGAAAATTTCACCACCTGAGGAAACTCCCACAAGGAACCCACCACAGTCACCATCAAAGATATAGTAAGAATGACAATCATATTAAATTAATTTTGCCTTATTTGTAATTCCAGAAACATATTTATTGTTATTTGTGTGTTTAAGAAGTAATAGTGATCCATCATAATTGGTGTGTTACAGTGAAGCAGAATGTGATACAACGGTCTCTGACCACAAGGCTACATAGACCAACTCAATGAAAAACTATGTGAACAAGAGAGGCAACTCAAGGAAAAGGATGACAAGATTGAAAAACTAAACAGACAACTTGAACTTGAAAAGTTCGGAGTTCGTAAATTCATGTATGATGATAAATTGCTGGAACATTACACAGGATTTCCATCATTTCAAACATTGCAAGCATTTATTTTATTTTATCAAATCTACAGCATCTAACATGAGAGGTATGTATTATCAAGGTGAATCCTGTCTTCCAAAACCAAACAATTCTCACTCTATTCCATTATTTGATGAGTTATTCATATTTCTTGTCAGAATTAAGCTGGGTTCAAGTGAAGTAGGTTTATCTGTTAGGTTCAATTGTCATGTCTCTACCATAAGCAGAAAGGCTTTGACTTGGTGCAGTTATCTCTATTTTGTTTTGGGTAGCATTAACATTTGGCCTCCTGCCTGAAGACTTCCGATTATTATACCCTAGAACTCGAGTCATCATTGACTGCACAGAAATGTATACCGAGAGACCCTCCTCTGTACATTTAGGTTCCCAAATGTATTCTCATTACAAGAGTAGGAATACATGGAAAGGCCTGGTGGGTATTGCTCCTCATGGGGCATTAACCTTTGTATCTGCCATGTTCTCAGGTTGTGTGTCTGACATTGAAATCACCAAACTGAGTGGACTGTTGGGATTGCTTGAGCCAGGAGATGTCATCATGGGTGACAAGGGTTTTCGTATAGGGAAGCTATTGGAAGGAACTGGTGTGTCAATAAATCAATTTCCAGTCATAGGATCCACAGTGAAAGGCATATCAAACGAGTAAAAGAGTACCATCTACTAAATGGTACAGTTCCCTTATTAATGGCTGGGTCAATAAATCATCTGTGGAGTGGAGTAAACTTACTAACTCTGTTTAGAAAGCCCCTTATAGCCAAGTGAGACAAGCAATATCCAGCATGTTACATCTCTTAGCCTTGA